GGAGTCAGTGACAGAGGTTGACTTTTTTTTTTTAATTTTTTTTTTTTAATTATATTTTATTGATTTTTTACAGAGAGGAAGGGAGAGAGATAGAGCTAGAAACGTCAATGAGAGAGAAACATCGACCAGCTGCCTCTTGCACACCCCCGACTGGAGATGTGCCCGCAACCCAGGTACATGCCCTTGACTGGAATCGAACATGGGACCTTTCAGTCTGCAGACCGACGCTCTACCGCTGAGCCAAACCGGTTTCGGCTAATTTTTTTTTAAATTAAGATATTAGAGGTTGACGAGACCGGTTTGGCTCAATGGATAGAGCGTCACCTTGGGGACTGAAGGGACCCAGGTTCGATTCTGGTCAAGGGCATGTACCTTGGTTGCGGGCACATCCCCAGTAGGGGGTGTGCAAGAGGCAGCTGATCGATGACTCTCTCTCATCGATGTTTCTAGCTCTTTATCTCTCTCCCTTCCTCTCTGTACAAAATCAATAAAATATATATTTTTTAAAAAAGATAGTAGAGGTTGACATTTTTAAAAATATATATACTTTATTGATTTTGTACAGAGAGGAAGGGAGAGAGGTAGAGAGTTAGAAACATCGATGAGAGAGAAACATTGACCAGCTGCCTCCTGCACACCCCCCACTGGGGATGTGCCTGCAACCAAGGTACACGCCCTTGACCGGAATCGAACCCCGGACCTTTTAGTCTGTAGGCCAACGCTCTAGCCACTGAGCCACACCGGTTTCGGCTAGAGGTTGACATTTTTTTTCCTTAAATATATTTTATTGATTTTTTTTACAGAGAGGAATTGAGAGGGACAGAAAGTTAGAAACATTGATGAGAGAGAAACACCGACCAGCTGCCTCCTGCACACCCCCTACCGGGGATGTGCCCGCAACGAAGGTACATGCCCTTGACCGGAATCGAACCCAGTACCTTTCAGTCCACAGGCCGATGCTCTATCCACTGAGCCAAACCGGTCCCGGCAAGGTTGACATTTTTAAGAGAACTGTGTGACCCAGGTGGTGAGGGTCAGAGTTAAGGGAACTGGATCCGAGGTAGGAGCCTGAAGTGTTTTTCACTGTCACGAAGGAAGGTCTCGAGAGGAGGGTGGGTTCGGATGAAGAGCAGCCAGCAGATTGCACTTCCCTTGGAGGTTTCAGGCAGGGGTGGCTGGTCTCAGAGCACGGCCCCACGTCACAGTGCCGTCAGCACGAGAACTGGCCGTCCCAGAGGCGCCTCAGCCCCGCCCCTTCCTGGAAACTAACAGCTGGGACTGGAGAGTCTGCTCTTCTGGGAAGGAGTCCTTCCTGCCAGAAACCAGCCCCACCTTCCTCTGTCCGAACTCCGGGGATGGGGACTCCTGAGACTGATGGCCTGGAGGACGGTGGGCAGGGGGGTGCAGGGCCCCCGTCATCCTGCGTCAGACCTGTGCTCCATCATGTATGGGAGCTGGAAATGGCTCCTGGTCAGCGTGTTTTCACTGAGGAGACTGACAAACACGACTTGGGTCCCTTGCCCAGCACACACGGGATTAGGTATCCTTGAGGGCTCCTGGCCCTGAGGGGGACCTGGTTCCTCCCTCTTTCCAGGCCCTTCCATACTTTGACCGGCTGGACTATGTGTCCATGATGTGCAATGAGCAGGCTTACTCGCTGGCTGTGGAGAAACTGCTGAACATCCAGCCTCCCCCGCGGGCACAGTGGATCCGAGGTACGCCCAGCCCGCTCCCCGGGCCCAGCTCAGTGCGCAGACCCCGCGCTGCCAGGCCTGCTGCCAGCCTGGGTCTTTGGCCCCTTCCTGACCCTCCCCTTTCTGCAGTGCTGTTTGGGGAAATCACACGGCTGCTGAACCACATCATGGCTGTGACCACGCATGCCTTGGACATTGGGGCTATGACCCCTTTCTTCTGGATGTTTGAAGAAAGGGAGAAGGTAGGAGAAGGAGGGAAGAATAGGATGGGAAGGAGATGAGGAAGTGGAGAAGGTGTCAAGGTTAACGAGAGAGGACGCAGAGGAGACACTTAGGGGAGGAGGTTTACTTAACCTGGGTTATATTCTTTTTTTAGGGGCCAGTTATATTCTTTAGGGATTCTGTTGTGAGGGGCAGGGGAGTGCACCACCATGTGGTTAGACTTAGGGGTCCAGGATTTTGTCCCCAATTCCCTGTGTCCCATCCAGATGTTTGAGTTCTACGAGCGAGTGTCGGGGGCTCGGATGCATGCTGCTTACATCCGCCCAGGAGGGGTGCACCAGGTGAGCAGCCCCAGCTTCCGTCCATGCTGAGTCCTTTGCGGCCACTGGAGGGCAGCGCTGGCTGATGGAAAAGCCACCGTGAGGCCCTGGCCAGAGGCTCTGCTGTGCTCACTGTCACTCTCGTCTGGCTTCTAGGACCTACCCCTTGGGCTTATGGATGACATTTATCAGTTCTCTAAAAACTTCTCTCTTCGGATTGATGAGGTGGAGGAGGTGAGATAGGAGTCAGTGGGGGGAAATCCCTCTTTGCTCCTCACGCAGGATTTGTGGGGTGTTGGTCCCCAGTGCTAAAGACACAGAGGTGTTGGACATTTGAAAGGTGTTTTCTTGGCCAACAGATGCTGACCAACAATAGGATCTGGCGAAATCGGACAGTTGACATTGGGGTTGTAACTGCTGAAGACGCACTGAACTACGGCTTTAGGTGAAGGACTAGGCTTCTCCCCTGGGGTGGGGATCCTGGACTTCCCTGGCTACACTCTGGACTGGTGTCCGCCCAGAGCAGGAGGCGTGGGGGCAGGAAGGTTAGGGAGGGAGGTGCCTCGGAGTGTGGAGAGCAGCCTTGTTGCTGTCTGTCTGCAGTGGGGTGATGCTGCGGGGCTCAGGCATCCAGTGGGACCTGCGGAAGACCCAGCCCTATGACGTCTATGACCAGGTGGACTTCGATGTGCCCATTGGCTCCCGAGGGGACTGCTATGACAGGTGAGGCCCAGGTCCTCCTTAGTCACAGTCCAGCTGGTGTCCCTTCACTTTCCCCTTAGCTACTTTGTGTCCTGTGTGTGTGAGTGCTTCCCAGAGCACTGTCATGTGACACCTGTTTTACCCTGAGTAAGGGGTCCTTAGAACTAGTGTGGCTGCTTTTTAAAAATATATTTATTTTATTGATTTTTTACAGAGAGGAAGGGAGAGGGATAGAAAGTCAGGAACCAATGAGAGAGAAACATGGATCAGCTGCCTCTTGCACACCCCCTACTGGGGATGTGCCCGCAACCACGGTACATGCCCTTGACCGGAATTGAACCTGGGACTCTTGAGTCCGCAGGCTGACGCTCTATCCACTGAGCCAAACCAGTTTCGGCTTGATCGCTGAGGAAGCGGAGGCATGAAGGTCAGAGAAGAGCCCAGGATTAGTCCGCTGGAGTTGAGACTCAGACTCCTGTTCCTGGTTCTTCCCACCAGATCCTCAGTGTTGAATCCCGTTCCTGTGTACTGACCCTGAATGAGATTTCCAGTTGCTTTTTGAGGCTGTCTGACTCTCACCCACTAGGTACTCCAGAAAGTGTTTAAGATGGTGATCAGAGAGGGAAATGTTACTGGACAGGGTCTGAGGACTGTAGGAGAGGACGTGGGGACAGGTCCAGGACCAGAATCGAAGACTGCAGGCTGGCTGTGGTGCCAGGCCACGCCAGGCGCTCGCGAGGAGGAAGGAGGGAAGCCCAGCGCTTTGCAGGGGGAGCCTGAGCTCCGGGCTGTCTCCCTCAGGTACCTGTGCCGCGTGGAAGAGATGCGCCAGTCCCTTCGGATCATCTCTCAGTGTCTAAACAAGATGCCTCCTGGGGAGATCAAGGTTGATGATGCCAAAGTGTCTCCGCCCAAGCGAGCCGAGATGAAGGTAGCTGCAGGGCAAGGAGGGGTCGTCCCGTAGGGCGAGCGAGAGGCTCCTGGGATTCATTCCTTGGCAGAGAACTCACTCGATGAGAGTCTGCAGCTCCTGTGGCCTCCTCTTCCTCTGCCTTCTCTGCTCACTTCTTAGCCCCCCTGAGGGGAGGCTGTCCTGTGCCCGGGTGGCAAGGAGACTGGATCTGAGTGTTGATGCTCCCCTTTCCCTCCAGACGTCTATGGAGTCCCTGATTCATCACTTCAAGTTGTACACTGAGGGCTACCAGGTTCCTCCGGGGGCCACGTACACGGCCATTGAGGCTCCTAAGGTGAGAGGAGGGGAAGGAGTGAGCGGCCAAAGACATGCTGGTGAGGGTGTGGCTGACCAGATGGCGAGGAGCAGCTACTTCCTGCTGATGGCAGCCCCCTCCTTCCTCCTCGGGCAGGGAGAGTTTGGGGTGTACCTGGTGTCTGATGGCAGCAGCCGCCCTTATCGATGCAAGATCAAGGCCCCTGGCTTTGCCCACCTGGTAAGAACCATCCCGCTGACGCTGACCCCCATGCTTGCTCTTGGCTGAGATACCTGTGCACTTCCCTCCGTCCACCCTGTGGCCTCACTAGCTCTGTCGCTCTTCCCCTGCAGGCCGGATTGGACATGATGTCTAAGGGACACATGCTGGCGGACGTCGTGGCCATCATAGGTACAAGGCTGTTGTGTAGACAGGCACAGGGCCCCTCTGTGGGGACGGAATCTGGACACTTCCTGTTCTCAGCCTGGGGCACAGGGAGCTCTGGATCCGGGTAACAGCACTCTCTTCTCCCGGCCTCCTAGGCACCCAGGATATTGTGTTTGGCGAAGTGGACCGGTGAGCAGGACAGCAGCACTGCCTCTCCCTGCCTCTCAACTTCCGTGTGAGCCTGTCACCGTTGGAAGTGGGCTGTGCACACTCAGCTGCAGGCTTTCTGTGTGTGTGTTAGAAAAGAAAGTAATAAATTAGCCGCTCTGGCCCCTGTGCCAAAGCCTCTGTATGTCTTAGTATCACACTGTCTTTCATTTTCATGGGAAACGAGTGTTTGTTAACCTTGTACTTCTCTGTTAGATTTTCCTGTTCCTCTCCGCCCCTTCTCTGACTCTGGTCCTTTCCACTTCTCCATTCCCCATTTCCTCTTTTCCCTCAGCGCCCCCCAGCCCAGACTTTGGTGCCCACACAGACCAGTACCCCTCACATCGGGGCCGGGTGTTCCCGGCGGAAGGGGAAAGGCTCGCCTGGGTCCCTGGGAGCCAGGCGCAGTGCCCACGGCGTGTGTCTGAACAGGGCTGTGTGGGAAGCGGGGTATTTGGGCTTTCCCAGCACGGGAGTCCCCTCCCGTGGAGGCCGAGCCCCAGTCACTGGACGCCTGAGGCGGAAGGGCCCAGCCTGCTCTGCTCCCTTAGTTGGCCCTTCCGGGAGCCGCCTGGTTTCTAGCGCAGGAAGGGGAAGGGGCCAGAGGGGGGAGGCGTGGCAGGAAGGGGGGAACTCTGTGGTCAGGGAGCTGCTCATCAGCACAGCTGCGCCGGCCCTCAGCTCGTGCCGCCCTCCGCCGCCCAAGATGATTCCCGCGGCGCTCCTGCTCGTCCTCCTGCTGGTCGAACAAGCAGGTGAGGGCAGTGAGCTAGACTCCCGGGTGCGAGTCGAGGCATATGGGCGGGTGAGGCAGGGGCCCCGGGGGCGGGGGACAGCAGTGGGCAGCTGGGCCCAGGGACCCAGGCTGGGCCTGTGTGGTTCCATCTGGGCACAAAAGCCAGTTTCCTCCTTCCTTGTCCCCATCTCAGGCTTGACAGGCCCCCAGGCTCCAGCTGGTGGGCGGGGGAGAGTGACAAAAAGCTGGTCTGGGAGCAGCCGAGGTTCCTGTGGAGCCTCTGGTGTCCAGGAGGAGCTGGCCTCTGGCTGGTTAAGTCCTGTCTGCAAGGGCCCGTGGGGAGCGGAGCCTTGTCCAGGGAGTGAGGCCAGGCTGGCCACACGGATGTGCTTGCTGCTCCCGCGCCATGGCTAACATGCACCTCCCATCAGCCACTGCGTGGAGGGTGGGCAGTGAGCATCTAGAGACCTGAGCATCCTCGGGGAAACCGAGGCAAGAATGGGAAAGTCAGCAGTCAGTTTATGAACTCGCCTCTTGCTCTCAGGGTTGTCTTGTGTGAATGATTACAAGATGGATGGTTGTGGCTGCAGTATGGGGGGACAGGATTAGTGAAACGAGGGAATTTGGGGAAATTGAAAGATGGAAGGAAGGTTGCACCAACCCAGCTATGAAGGTGGAAGGGTCCGAGAGCGGCATGCGCTGGGTGCCCGCTGAGGCCTGGGGAGAGCCGGCGGGCGGGCTCGGCTGCCTCCAGCGTCCTGCCGCCCTGACGGAGCTGCTCGAGCTCTGGTTGCGTCATTGGTAAGATGGCGACATCTCCAAACAGGCAGCTTTGAGGTTTATCAACATGGAGTGGGAGAGACCGGCATTGCAGAATTAAAAGTCACAGCCCGGGAGCCCATGTGACAGAGGCCAGGGAGAAGGGCAGATGGGAGCTCGGACCCCATTTTACTTCTTTAATTGCACAAACTTCCTCTCAGTGGCCCAGGGTGTGAGGAACAGGGCAGTCCCACAGGCACCGGTCCCCGAGATGGAATCTCAGCGGGGGCCCCTGGAGTGCTGGGAGGGTGGGCACTGAGGCCGGGGAAGCGGGGGCCTGGCTTTCACATGCCCAGGATAGGGTGGGCAGAGCGCTGTGTGGCCGGGGCTTGATGACCAATAACTAATGGCCTTCCCGCCCTTCCCCAGCTACATCCTTCCTGTCCAGCTCGCAGCCACAGGTCACAGGACTGAGCAGACGCTCCTGTGGTTTCTTCACTGACATTTGTCACTGCCTTCCCCTCACCCTACCCTCCAGGCTGAGGTTTTGGGTTTTGCCTAGTGCACTTAGATGAGTCCCTTGAGGGCCGTGAAGTGCTCAGCCAAGCCTGGGGAACCCCAGTGCTCGAAGGAAAGGCTAGGGCTGAGGGGAGTCCTTGGGGCTTAGTGCACTGAGTTCCAGCCTCACTCCGAGGCTGTGGAGAGGAATCCAGAGAAAAAGCAAGCTTCCCTGGAGAGCACCCTCAGGCCTGGCCTCCCTCCCAGAATCCTCCCTTCCCTGATGCCTTTGCCCCATGGGCACCCTCTCTCCCCTCAGAGGCCCTGGGAGAGCCTCAGATCTGCTACATCCTGGATGCAATCCTGTTTCTGTATGGGATCATCCTGACCCTGCTCTACTGTCGACTCAAGGTGAGGCTGGGCAGGTGGGTGGGGACGGTGGTGGCAGCATGGCTTTAAAGAGAAACCCACCAAGGTTGGAGGGAAAGCGGATGGGCCACTAAAGTTGCTTTTCCTAATGGCCTTCCTCCACTCCAGATCCAGGTGCGGAAGGCAGCTGTCGCCTATCAGGTATGGATGCCCCTCCCCACCCCCAGGAGCCAACAGTTTGCAGACTCAGCCCTTCTGGGCTATAGCCTGGGAGAGCAGGAGTCTCGGGTGCTGACCTGCATGAGCTTCAGAGACCCCCTTCCCACCTCACCCTACCCACCCTGCCACCCAGCCAAGCCACAGGTGACAAGTCCCACCCTTGGCTGATAAGTCCCTGGGTGTGGAAGAAGATGCTGGGGGCCCCTGGAGGAGGTGTGGTTCTCTGACAAGTTGCTCCTTTGTTTCCACAGAAGTCAGATGGCATTTACACGGTGAGTTGGCCCCGCCCACCCCAATCCCAGGAAGTCAGCAGGAGAGGGTGGATTTTGAGTGACCTTTGGAAGGGCAGGATCTGTGGGGGTGAGTGGGAGCTGTGGAGGGACGCAGCTCCTGACTGCCCTCTGACCTTCACTTCCAGGGCCTGAGCCCCCGGAACCAGGAGACTTATGAGACCCTGAAGCATCAGAAACCGACAGAGTAACTGCAGGACCGATGCCCTGGGTCACGTCCTCCTGCCCCCAGTTCCTGTCCAGCCCCAGGGCTGACATCACATATGCCTCCCGCCATTAATGCCCAAACCTCCGTGTAAAGATGCTATGCCCCCATGAATGGACCCATTGGTTCCTCTTCCCTGCCCAAGGCCTGTGCTCACTGATGTGCTTATGCTAGTCTCCTCCGACCGCCCCTTCCCTGCACCCAGCTCCCCATGGCCCCCTCGCACTCTCAGTCACCCCGGGCAATGGGAAGGGAACAGCACCAATAAAGCCGCCACAGACTGGGCTCCACTCCTTGCTTCCTTCCTTGTACACGGAGCCTCTGCAGGGCTCTGGCTGGTACTGAAGTTGCCGTTGGGAGGAAGAGTCCCACACCTGACCTCACAGAGCTCAGTGTCAAACGCCAGGCTGTTTTGCTCAATGGAAGGGCAAGTGCTGCTGTGAGGGGACAAATGAGAGCCCTGGCCCCAGGCCTCTAGTTTGGAGCAGGAGCAGGAGAGTCCATGTGGGACTGGGCACATTCAAACCGAAGAAGTGACTTCTGGACTGTGGGAAAGCCTGGCTTCCCTGCCTCAAAGAGGGACCAATTCAGTCACAGTGGGTGACAGTCCAGGGGCAGCTCACCGTGTCTGTGGTACAGCCTGGCCCCAAAGCCCGGCGTCAGGAGGGACGATGTGAGGAGGGCTCATGTGATGCCCCAAGGCAGTGGTCGGCAAACTCATGAGTCCACAGAGCCAAATATCAACAGTGCAACGATTGAATTTCTTTTGAGAGCCACATTTTAAAAAAAATTTTTAATATATTTTATTGATTTTTTTACAGAGAGGAAGAGAGAGGGACAGAGAGTTAGAAACATCGATGAGAGAGATTCATCGATGAGAGAGATTCATCAATCAGCTGCCTCCTTCACACCCTCCACTGGGGACGTGCCCGCAACCAAGGTACATGCCCCCGTCCAGAATCGAACCTGGGGCCTCTCAGTCCGCAGGCCGACGCTCCATATAGTGAGCCAAACCGGTTTCGGCAAGAGAGCCACATTTTTTAAACTGAAACTTCTTCTAACGCCACTTCTTCAAAATAGACTCGCCCAGGCCGTGGTATTTTGTGGAAGAGCCACACTCAAAGGGCCAAAGAGTCACATGTGGCTCAAGAGCTGCAGTTTGCCGACCACGGCCCTCAGGAAGGGTTGCACGGGGACGGAGTTCTTAGCGGGTTCTGGGGCGAGGGGGACCTTAGTGGGATGGATGTGGGCCAGACAGAGTGGGTGAGTCGGGTCCTGAGGGAGAGGAGCTTCTGGAGGCACGGTGGGCGGGCAGGAACCCTCCTCAGCCCTGTCCTATGGCAGCAGAAGGCGGGGTTCCAGGAAGTATGTTATGTTTCCAGACAGAGAAACATAGGTTGCCTTCTGCATGTGCCCTGACCCCAGGGATCAGATCTGCACCCCAGGTACATGCCCTTGACTGGGAATTGAACTGGTGACCCTTTAGTACGTGGGCTGACGCTCTAACCACAGAGAACATTGATTAGGGGTGTTTTCTTTCTGAGAGAGAGAGAGAGAGAGGGAGAGAGGAAGAGAGAAACATTGATCAGTTGCCCCTGGGTATGTGCCCTAAGAATCAAACCCTCCACCTTCTAGTGTATGGGATGATGCTCCAACCAACAGCCACACCGGCCACAGCTGTAAGTCCTTGCATCCCATCTGCTGCAGCCCGTCCTGCCTCGGACCCAGCAGCCTCTCAGATGGGACTCTGGTCTGTGCCCAGGCCCCCCAGGCTGGGCAGCTCTTTACTCACAGTGACTCACACTTGTCAATGCACTTTTCCAACTCCTGTACCATTTGCTCTGCTCACTACCCTGTGAGGATTCAGCTCTTCACAGTTCAACCTGCCAAGTTAAACAAGGTTGTCCTATGTGCACTTCAGCATGTAAGAACGCCCAGTCCTGGGAAAAAAGGGGAGGAAGAGGCCCTGAGGGCTGAGGGTCATCACTATGCAGAGCCTCAGCTGAAGGCAGTTGCAGATGAGCCATGAGAAGTGTGTCAGGGAGGGAAGCAGCTGCTTTAGAGGTCAAGTGGGGATAGTTTCTGGCAATGCCTCCACTTCCCTCTGCCACGCACAGCTGCCAGGCTGCTCTCTTCTTTTCTTTTTTCTTTTTTGTTAATCTTTATTGTTCAAATTATTACAACGGTTCCTCATTTCTTCCCCCCTCCACCAGGTTCCCACCCCACCCTCCGCCCCCTCCCCATCCCCCATTGTCCTCATCCATAGGTGCAGTTTATGTTCAGTCTCTTCCTTTCCCCAACAGTAAATCCCTTTTCAGATAGTAAATCAGTTACTTAGCATTTTCTCATATCAATAATACCTCCACATGCCCAATGATACATTTCACACAAAAGACATTTCCAAATAGGTCAACCAGCCTCATCCAGGCCCCACCCAAGGCACTCACAGATCAACACCCCAGCCCTATACTAACTCAACACATCCAGATCTAAGCCTTCATCACTTGATTCAGCAGACCCTCAAGTTCCCGCAAAAGTTTCCAGCCATGTCTGAGAGGCAGCCGTGGGGGAGGGGCAGGCGAGGAGCGAGCTGTTCCGGGCCTGGCTGCTCCGGGCCTGGCCTCTGTTGCTCTGGTTTGTTCCACAACCAGCTGCTCCGGGTCTGGACACTGCCGCTCCCGACCTAGTTGCTCTGGACTTGGCTGCTGCTGCTCCGGGCCTGGCCGCACCCGACCCGGCTGCTCTGGGCCCGGCAGCTCTGGGCCTGGCCGCTCCCAGCCTGGCAGCCGCTGCTCCAGGCCTGGTTATACCAGACCTGGCTGCTCCGGGCCTGGCCGCTCCCCAGGCTGCTCTCTTCTGCTTTGATTTAATCCCGGCATCATGGCTCCCAGCATCTCTAGTCCCACATGTCCCTCTGCGGAGCCAGCCGGCCTGAACTGGTGTGGTGTCTGCTGGCTCCAGCTCTGCAGTGGCCGCTGGGCCAGGCAGACAGCACCCAGACCAGAATGGGGTGTGGAAAGGTGTCCCCAGATAGGGGTCCAGGTGAGAGCAGTTTGGGGAGAGTGAGCCGAACCTTTTACTGTAGGCGGGGGTGGGAGCAAGCAGCGTTCCCTGGCTCAGAAGGGAGGGAGAACCTTGGGTGACCTCTGTGGGTTCACGTTTTAGAAGCTGTCTTCTCTTCACAAGGTGATGGAGAGGAGCTTGAGGGAGGCCTTGTCTCCTGTGACCTGCCCAAGGCCAAGAATCCAGACTTTCTCAGCCTCACATCCATGCAAAGCTTCTTTTTTATTTTTAACATGTTTTTATTGATTTTGAGGGAGAGAGAGATAGAAACATCAATGATGAGAGAAAATCATAGATCAGCTGCTTCCTGCACGCCCCACACTGGGGATCGAGCCCACAATCTGGGCATGTGCCCTTGACCGGGAATCAAACCTGGGACCTTTCTGTCCACAGGCCGACGCTCTATCCACTGAGCCAAACCAGCCAGGGCCAAGCAAAGGCTCTTCACCTCCTCAGAGCGCTCCGGGCGGGAGCAGACTCCCCGGGGCCGCTCTGCCGTTCCCACATTTGTCTCTTGGTCCCTCTCTTCACCCTTCACCCCGAGCCGCTCCTCCTCCCGTCCCCACAAAGCTCACCATGGGCTCCTTCACTGTTCACTGTAGAAGCAAGTGGTGGGAGGGAGGGGCTGGAGGCTGGCCGGACGTGTCCTAGGGGCCAGTGTGGTGGCTGGGCGTCCGGCAGTGATGGCATACCACAAGTAACTGAGGAAGCTCATCAGGGATGAGGCAACTGTTCTCTCAAATTCGAAGCTCAATTTCCCCAATCTCCACCCTGAGCTCAGTCTCCTGTGGGCCCTCAACACGCCCTTGCTGAGACTTATTTGGCCTGGGCCTGGACCTCTGGGCCCTTGACCTTCTGCACCAGGTCCTTGCCACGGTCTGCAGGTTCTGAGAGAACAGGCTCTGCAGGCTCATCTCCTCCGTCTGCCTCCGGACCTAGAACACCCGCCCTTTTCAGCTGGTCCCCAATACCGAGTCCTGGCCTCCAGCGAAGCCGCTCCAGTGCCCAGGCCAAACAGGCTCCCACTTCAGGCCTTTGGATAAATTTTCTGGCTTCAGAGGGGGAATGGTCTTCGTTTTGAGCTCTGGGATAGCCAGATCTGGGCACAGAACTGGCAGATGGGCAGCCAGGACCCTCTACTGCCTTCTCCTTGGGACTCCCCTCCACTCCACACCCACCTTCGAGGCCAGAGATGGTGAGGAGCAGCTCGGTCACTATAAGCAGCTTCATGGTGGTGTCATGGGGAGGTGGCCTGGAACAGATGGAGGTGGGGCGACACTGAAGCTGGGTAGGCTTCAGCCCCTCCCCAGGGACCCTTCCTACGTGGCCACTCCAACGGGTCCCTTCTCTCCCCACAGTTAAAACCTGGTCCTCCTTGGATGCTCCCCACTGGCCAGCACCTCTGTCTCTGTGCCTGCGCCTGGCTGGGGAGGCAGGGCTACGTGTCTGCCTGCTTCTCTGCCCTCCTCCCCCCTGCCAGGTGACAAGGAATGTGGAGGGACATTGGGGTGGACCATGTTGGAGTAAACAAGTTGGAGGGATGAGGACAGGACAAGTGCATGGGGGACGCCTGGTGCAGGCCTTCGTGGTGGCAAGGGGGTGTCCTTTAGGCCTACTGGAGGTTCACTCTGTTGGGATGTGGGGCAGCAGCCCCTCGCTCTGAACGCTGCAGGAAGTAAGAGTGCCCATGACATAACCCTCAGCCCCCAATAACTGTCCCATTAGGAGTAAATTTTGTCTCCCCCAAGTCTAACCTCCCCACCCCCCACACTTCACTGCAACTTGCAAGAGGTTTGGGGAACAGAAAAAAGGAGAAAGGAGTTGAAATTAGGGGTAGGGATGAGGGCCAGAGGGCAGGTGATCCGCTTGGTCCCTTTCTCAGTAATGGTGATGAGAAGGGGTTGAAAACATGTTGGCCAATTATCACAGCCTACCCCCCAGTCAGAAAGCAGCCTCTGCCCTCCACCCCGTTGGAAGGCTCCGGCAGGAAGAGGTTCACGTTAAAGGGTAGAAGTTGAAGGTCCCTGGTCATTGGGCCACCTTATCAGGTCGAGGTGGTAGCCAGCAGAAGTGAATCAGCAGGGGCCACAGCACCCCACTGCACATCCCCAGGCATCTGGGTGAAGTCAGCTGAATAGATACCAGAAGCGTTTGCATCTTTCTCCTTTTAGCCTTCAAAGTGTAGCAGGACATTCCCGAGAGGTGGCGCGGAGATACGAGGACCAGCGAGGGCTCCCCTTATTTCCCTGTGGAGCCCCCAATGCTGGAGGCACTCCTCTGACTCCCGCCTGGCCCTGGGGTGGAGATCCCTGGGGGCCGGGCCCATATCCCGGGGTTTTATCGGGCCCTCTGCCTGCGGAATCAGGGAAGGAAGGATTGATGAATTGCAGGGGCAGCTGTTTCAGGGGCGGTTCTGCTAGAATCGAGGCCGCAGCCCTGCTCCTCCACACTCCCGGTGCTCACGCGGTCCCATTCCGAGAGGACCAGAGACTGCGCGGGAGGGCGGCGCGGTCCCAGGCCGGCGGCGCCGGCGAGCAGCTCGTGGGGCAGAGCGTCGCGGAGGCCCAGCGATCCTGCGTGGGGCGCCGAGGGCGACTGAACCGGGTTGAAAATGAGTCCTCCCGGTCGTTCCTCTCCCTCTTCTCCAAGGCAGCGCTCCACGCCGTAGGGTGGCGGGGGCTTCGACCGCCCAGGCTCCAAGCTGCTCCCTCAGAGCCCCGCGCTCCCACGTCGACGCGGAGAAGCCTTGGACCAGCCAATCACCCCGGGAGCTGCCCGCAAGCCCCGCCTCCGCAGCTCCGAGGCTGGAGCTCTCTGGACGCGGCGCCTGCCACTCCTCTACTTCCTCCTCTCCCATTGGCCCCTGGGAAACCCAGGCCGCCTGTCTTTAATGGTTGGGCGGGGCCCGGTCAAAGGAGGGCCGGTCTTTAAAAGCTTTCTTTTGCCCGGTTCCAAGATGGTGATCCTGACCACGCGGAGACAGCAGCATGAAGCCGCGGTCCTGCCATCACTCAAGATGGCTGCCCCCATCAAGATGACCGGGGTGTGCCGGGGGGGAAGGGGCAGCACGAAGGTCTGAGACGGTAAGGCGACCGATCCGTGGCGAACCGCGCCTGGCGGCCTCGGGATGGAGAGCAGGGAGACTCGGGAGCGGGGCGGCCGGCGGGGTCAGGGTTAGAGACGGGTGACAGGTGGGGCTGTGGGGCCGAGATGGGACGGGACTGTGCTTGCGACTCAGTGCCCACACCGGTGCCCCGCCCGCTCTTCTCGTTCCAGGCCTAGCGTCGGACCATGCGGAGGCTTCGGGGGCTGGGGAGCCGGGTGATGGGGGGTGGGGCCCGCGGGGGGTAGAGGGAGGAATAGCATCCTTTCCAGCTCCCCCAGCCCCTCCTCGTCCTCCGGACTGAAATGGGGAACACGTTGGGCCTGGCTCCGATGGGGGCTTTGCCCCGCCGGAGCCCCCGCCGAGAGGACCCTCTGCCCAACCCCGGGAGCTTCGATGAGCTGCACCGCCTGTGCAAAGGTGAGCGCCTGAGCCCGGGGGAAGGGGCCGAGGGACGGTCTGCATGCTGGGTGCGGGGCTGGGAGCAGGAGAGGAGGTCGCGCCGGCTCGCCATGGAGCGAGCGTTTTGTTGCAGAACCGGAAAGGAGTCGGTTCCTCCAGAGCGCTTGCTGTGACACGCGGGGGACTGCTCCTCGGGGTCGGGGCTCCTCTCTGTGCTGACTCCTCCCCTCTCTCCCTCCCACCTTCAGATGTATTCCCAGGACAGATGGAGGGAGTGAAGCTCGTTGTCAACAAGGTTCTGAGCAGCCATTTCCAGGTGCTCCCTCTCTCTGGCCCCTCCTCACGGCGCCTCCTGCCCGGCCCACCCTCTCCTTCCTCTGCTCCCTGGCGCCGGGCTGCGGCAGAGGGCAGGAGCCCGGCTCTAACTCCCTTGCTTGTGGGCTTGCTTTCAGACAGGTGACCCTCAGTGTGTGGACAGTTGGGGTTGTTAAAAGGCCTGGATAGGGACGGGATGGAGGGGGAGATGGGGACGGGCGCAGAGGAACGCTCTCCACCGGCTTCTCTTCCCCAGGTGGCTCACACGGTGCACCTGAGTGCCCTGGGCCTGCCTGGCTATCACCTGCATGCGGCCTATGCAGGGGACTGGCAACTCAGCCCCACCGAGGTGAGGACTCCGCACCGGCCGTCTCTCAGAGCCGCCTCGCCTGCGGGCGGAGGAAATTGTGTGTTATGGGGAGGGCGCTCCTCTCCTCTGGTTTCTTCTGAATGGGAGAGAGGAGGGACTGTGTGATTGAGTGGAGTTTTTCTTTGTGGCTCCAATAGGGGGCGCTGGGTGCCGTTAAAGAAAGCCCATGGTATTTGGGTTTGGGCTGAATGGAACCAAGCCCAGCTTAGTCTGACTGTCTAGCTCTTCAACAGGTTTTCCCCACTGTGGTAGGTGACTGGGACAGCAGCGGCAGCCTCAACGCGCAGGTCCTGCTCCTCTTGGCGGAACGGCTCCGAGCCAAGGCCGTCTTCCAGGTGACCCATGGTTCCTGCCTCCATCCAGGGTTTCTTTCCTCCACGAATGTGCTGCTCCACGGCCCCGGGGGAGGAGCAGAGGCCACAGATGGCAGAGGGGGAGGGAGAGCTTACTTCTCTTGCCCCATCCCAGACGCAGCAGTCCAAGTTCCTGACCTGGCAGTTTGACAGCGAGTACCGGGGAGATGACTACACGGCGACTCTGACCCTCGGAAATCCTGACTTGATTGGGGAGTCCGGTGAGAATCGGGACAGGGCTCTTTTTATCCTGGCCACCCACCGCTGATGGCGTCCTCTTCACCTCGCTCACTTCTGCGATTAGAGAAGAAACCTGCGGGGAGGGCAGGCCGGCGTGTTGTCTCGGCCTGACTCTGTGTCTCCCACTCCCAGTGATCGTGGTCGCTCACTTCCTGCAGAGCCTCACCCAGCGGCTGGTGTTGGGGGGGGAGCTGGTGTACCACCGGCGGCCGGGCGAGGAGGGGGCCATCCTGACGCTGGCGGGGAAGTACTCCGGTACGCTGGGGCGTGATGGAGGGGGCGCTGGGCTTGGCTGGGGGCCTGGCCTGTGTCCGCAGCAGTAATGCTCCCGTCCTCCGCCTTTGCCTTTCACAGCTGTACGCTGGGTCGCTACGTTGAATGTGGGGTCAGGTGGGGCCCATGCAAGCTATTACCACAGGGCGAATGAGCAGGTGAGCCGACTGACCCCCCACCCCCCGCATGTCACTCTGCCCCGGTGCCCACCCTGGGCCTCCACGGGCCCTGCCGACTGCTGTCTTCCGCCTGCGCTTCCCATACATGTCACGGTGTCTCCTCCTGCTGCCGCCAGGACCCACAGTCTCTACAGAGACAGACCTCTCCCCCTCAGGTTCAGGTTGGCGTGGAGCTGGAGGCAAACACCAGGCTACAAGACACCACCTTCTCCTTCGGTTACCACCTGACCCTGCCGCAGGCCAACATGGCGTTTAAAGGTGAGGGCGAGTGGGAGCACACCGAGCTGTGTGGGATGGGGGCAGGGAGGGGGTGCTCCCTCTGACTTCTGCCGACTCCTTTCTGCAAGCCCGGGCACTGACCTGCGCGTCTCCTGCGCAGGCGTGGTGGACAGTAACTGGTGTGTGGGCGCTGTGCTGGAGAAGAAGATGCCCCCGCTGCCCGTCACCCTCGCCCTGGGGGCCTTCCTCAACCACTGGCGCAACAGGTTCCACTGCGGCTTCAGCGTCACTGTGGGCTGAGGCCCGAGCCCAGCAGCTGCAGCCTCTGAGTTCGGTGCCCGAGGCCAGAGCCTGGGCCTTCTCTGGAGCCCCCTGGCTGGGTGACCTCGGGGTCCCAGGAGCAGAGTGGGGCCGGGCCGGGCCCTCACTGAGGAGACGGTGGTCTGAGGACCGGCCCTGCCCGCACATGCTCTGTCCCACTGCGGCTCTGGCTAAGGGAGAAGGGCAGGGCCTGGCTGGCCTGTGGCCTCCTCATGCTCCCCTTCTCCTCTCCCTGTGGATCGGATTAAAGCTCCTCCCCTCTTCCTCTTCAGAGAGGAATGTCTGCATGGGATTGCGCCATCCGTTTGCCCCCCAGGCCTCAGGCTGGGAAAGAACCTTGCCCTCCGAAAGCGGGGCCACCACTCCCTGTGCTCCAGAGAACAGTTCCCACGCCTCCGTGCCCTGCCTGCACGAGGGCAGCGTGCTGCGGGCTCTCACCGAACCTCGGCTCCCTTTCCGCGGCCCCTCCGGCCAGGGTGTCAGGCCTGGCGCGCCGCCCGGCAGACGCTGCACCAGAGGCGCTGCGCAGTGCGGGGTGCCGGGTTTGTCCGTCGCTGCTCCTGCTCCGGGTCAGCCGGACCGGGCTCCGCATACAGAACCTTTGGAGGAGGAGGGAGCGGGCCCCGGAGAAAGGAGGGTAATGTGGCACCTGCGCCCCAAACTGCCCACAGCGAGGCTCGCTGTGCACAGCACAGGGCTAACAGACCGGGCCAAGGCCCCAGGGTGCCCGGCTCTGCGGCTTCTCTTGAACCCCAAGCTCTGAGGCCCTGAGCGAAGAAAGCCCCAGAATTGGCTAGAACTTTAACTGTGAGGAGCCTGAGAGTGTGGCCTTCTCAGCAGCTCTAGAAGGTGGGTGTGTCCTGTGGTCCTCCCAGGCCGGCTGGTGGAGTGAGCGGAACAGAAGGGAGACACTCAGAGCCGGCGGATGGTGGAGCCAGGGCTTTGCCAGGAGCTGTGTGTGAACACAACTTACAGGGGAATGAAAGTGGAAGGATGGGCCAGTGAGGAGGAGGGGAGAGGCCCGAGCAGAGGGAGCACCACTCCCGGCGGACAGGCGCTTTGAGCGGTGGGGATGGCATCGGTCTCAGGAATGCTGGGGCAGAGCCCGTGAGCAGCCGCTTCGCGTCTCTGAACCAAAAAGCTGGGAAGAGCCCAGAGCGGCAGGAGCCGCGTGGGCACTGCAGTAGGGAGAGGGCGGGAGTGAGGCCCCGCGGGCGGGTGCCAGGAAGGCCGGGAGAAGCTCCCGCTGGGCCAGTTCCCTTCCTCCTTCCCTGGGCAGCCCGGGCCCGGCCGCCGGCCTGTGGTGGAGCTCTGCGGAGCCCGCGCCTCCGGCCGCCGGTCAGTCTCCCTCTGGGGACCCTGGGCCGGCTGGGCTGTAAGGGAGCAGGAAGGATTGGCGGGGGGTGGGGGGCTGTATAGTGCCCAGGGGCCCCAGGTTGGGGAGATGCATTCTGCATACTGGAGGACCAACAGGCCCGGGAGGGACAGACTGGAGGAGCTGGGAGTTTGGCAGAGGTGTTGGGAGGAAGCTTCTGGGTTTTGGGGGGAGCTCACCAGGCGGAAGGGGGCCGGGCAGCCATGAGCACACTCGGGTTCCTGGAGCTGCAGCCGCCACAGTGTCCTATGGACGTGAAAGAGCAGCTCTAAAAGCTCGAGCCCCGCTGCGGGGAGACCAGCCTTCGGCCCCCTGGCCTTGGCCATGCCACAAGGACGAAGACACGGGCTGCTGTCCTACCAGCAGGAGCTCCGTCTTCTCGGGTAGCAGAGGCCACAGGGAGTCTGTGTTTGGAGATGACAGGTCTCGAAGCTCCCCTGAGGAGGGAGACCCTGGCCCTCACGGGCTGGGCTGTGGGGAGTGGGACACTCGAGTCTGAACTGCGAGAGGAGCTCCCACTTTGACAGGCACAAGCCAGGGTGGGATTGCAGACCTGGTGCCCAGTGTGCCTTGGTTTTGCTGGAGGCCGTGTGGAGAGTCTGAGGGCAGTGCTTCTTCCCGAGGGGCGGGGCGGGCGGCCACACAGAGGGCAGGGCCCGGTGACCTGGTGCCTGCTGTGCGGCGGACGTGTTGATGCCTGCAAGGTGCGTGCGCAGAGGCAGTGCAGGGAGCAGTGGGCGAGCGCTGAGGATGGGCGAACAGAGGAGGCCGTGGAGGGAGACCCCGAGCTCAGCGCTCTCCTTTGGTCCCTCCAGCCTTGGAAGGTTCCAGGCTGAGGAGCCGGCCTCTTCTGGGGTCCTGGAGAAGTCCTGGCCTCTGAATTGGTACGTGGCATACTGCCCCTCTGGTAGGCTGTCCTCCTTGGTTACCCTTTTGGTCACATTCCAGCCCAAGTCCTGTGAGTGCTCACCCTGAACTGCATGGGCTGACAGGGCCCCTGTGGCAGGTGTGGGTCCCAGGCGTCTGGACTAGCTCTCTCCTCCCCTTACTCTGCTGGGTGCTTGCTGGGCCTGCAGACAGGATCACTGTGCCCGGCAAGAGATGCAGCCAAATTCTCAACTTCAGCAGAGAGTACCTCCCTGCCGGCCTGGTCTGGGGCCGGCCACCCTGATGTGCGGGAGGGGGTCCGGAGGCTGCGGATGGTGGGTGTCTGTCACCTCCTCCAGCCTGGCCTGGCAGAGAGCAAGGCGCTGCGGCGGGGACAGGCTAGGTTTGGCTCGCGAGGGAGCGTTGCAGAGGGAGGGCTCTGGCACCTGGAGCATCGCCTGTGTCTGTGCAGCTGGACGGTCTCACCTGAGGGGATGAACACCCTGGGTAGACAGGATTTGTCACCACTTGTATCCATACTTTTCAGAAATGTAGAAAGGCGGAGGTTCAAGGCTACAGAATAGTGAAGTGATGTAGACTGAATCCAAACAAGATGATCAGTGCCCACTGCTCCCAGGGAGCCTAGTGCGACGTCCCGGGCACCGAGAGCGTGGGAATCAGACGGAGTCCGCATGCCGCCCCACGGCTTCTCACCAGTGCCTGCGGCACGCTGACTGTGAGCCCCACATTACCTTGGCAGCGTAGCCGCCTCATGTGGACACAGGCATCGTGACTAACTCAGCCATTACCAGCCATCTGCTGTGTGGCAGGCACTGGGCCGGAGGGAAGAGAAAGCGAGCCACAGGCATCCCGTGAGCTCCTGGGAGAGGGGTGGTCAGGCAAGCGCAGAGGTCTGAGGGTGGCACACAGCTGTGTGGCTGGGATGCACTGAGGGGGACAGAGCCATGAAGGTGGCCTGGGGAGCGAGGCCATGAGATTGTGGCCCGGAGGAGGTGAGCAGAACAGTGACCTCACTGGCTGGTCTTCACGGGCGCGGCCTACTGAAGCGAATGCTCCGTGGGAACAAGAAGCAGAGCGGAGTCTGTGGGTTCCTGGGAGGGGAGGGGCCAGCTCACTGTCCTTCCTGCCACCATCCAGGCACTTCCGCAACCTGCAGGCCGGCAGCGGTGCCTCTGGGCCTGCTGACCTCTTACAGGCCCCAGCAGACAGGCAGGCGAGCCAGTGCCCGCTGTGCCTCTGTGAGAGGCGCGAGGGTGAGGATGACCGAGTGGGTGGTATGTGAGGGGCCGCAATGACAGGGCTCTGTGCTGTGCCCACAGGCCTGCATGGGCGGCTGGGGCACAGCACACCTCGCATCTGCAGAGCGGAGCCTGGTGTTTCACAGGAAGTGAGCACCGTAGGTGCTTTTGCCTGAGGGCGTGTGCCCCTAGGGCAAGCGTAGCCCTTCCTCCGTGATGATGGCGCCTGTGGTGTGGAGCTGGTGCCTTGGAGCCAGCTGGCCACGGAGCGAGTGGCCACACAGCTCGACGCTGTTGGGGTTGTTTCTATTGGGAGGAGGCTCTTCCCTGAAGAAACCCTGCTGGCCTTGCAAGCCAGGGCAGGGTAACCGTCCGAGGCCCATATCCCGTAACTCCCGGTGTGTGGTGGCTCAGTCCCGATGCGGTGGCAGCTCTGGCGCCCTTGGCTCTTCCCCTTTCTGCAGAGGTTTCCGGATGCCTCTGGGCCCAGCCCGGGCGGTGTCTGCTTGTGCTGCTTTTCTTCTGGCCCCAGAAGAGGGCCGGGTGGGTGCACTTCCCCAAACCCCACCTCTTTCCCCGGGATCCCTGGAGCTGCCCAGGTCAGGGGTCATGACCTCAGGGCCTTCTGTAGTGTGTGGCCTCCAGTTCTCAGAGACTTTGGACCTGGGCAAAGGCCTGGGGAGGTTTTCCCAGCTTGCCCGTGGCTCTGGTTGCTGGCATGTGGGGAGGGACCCTGGCAGGTGGGGACCTCGAGAGTCACTGTTTAGCCGGGAACACGGCAGAGAGAGCAGAGCCAGTGCTAACCTGCGAGCGGGGGGCCAGCACAGGGAGCTCAAGGCCTGGGAGCACCTAAGGCTGCGGTCTGTTAGCCGGAGGCCGAGGGGGGGGGGGGGAAGCAGGGAGGGCCAGCAGGCTTTGTGGGAGTGAGCGTGCCACGCTCCCCCCCACCCCCAGAAGGCTCTTGGGCTCGGCGTGGTACTCTGGTGTTGCTGTCTTGAAATTCTTAGTGATTTTTTTTTTATTATTACATTTTATTGATTTTTTACAGAGAGGAAGGGAGAAAAGATAGAGAGCTAGAAACATCGATGAGAGAGAAACATCAACCAGCTGCCTCTTGCACACCCCCTACTAGGGATGTGCCCGCAACCCAGGTACATGCCCCTAACCGGAATCGAACCTGGGACCTTTCAGTCCACAGACCGACGCTCTACCATTGAGCCAAACCGGTTTCGGCTCTTAGTGATTTTTAAGAAGGAGCTCTGCATTTTTGTTTTTATGGGGCCCCGCAAAATATCTGGTCCTGTCTAATCAATAAGCATAAGACTCAGAGGTAGGAGTCTTCCCCGGGGTGGTCCTGTCTCACTGACACAGAAGAATATTTTTGCAAGTGTATACTCCCCCAACACCTACGAACAGACAAAGTGATTTATTTGTATGTATTTAATCGATTTTAGAAAGGGGGGACGGGGAAAGAGAGAGAGAAACATCAGTGAGAGAGGTATAGTTGCCTCTCCTACATGCCCTGACCTGGATCAAGCCCACAACATAGGTATATGCCCTGACCGGGAATCAATCCCATAACCATCTGGTGCATCGATTGATATTCCAACCAACTGAGCCACACCAGCCGGGATAGAAAAAAGAATGTCAGGTGCTGTTGGGTGTCTGGGCGTGGACACTGTGGGCATGTCCGTGGTAGGTGAGTCTGATTCTGCACACACGGATAGAGTCCAAGCCCGGGTGTCTGCGGGTAAAGGCTCGGCCCTGCCC